TACAAAGGTTAAACTAGAGAAACCATTTATCATGTTACCATTCAGTTAATTTTGTCATGTTACATGGTATAACCTGCTTTGTAACCATACAGATGTACTATTCACAGAGGGAAGATCACAAAGCAGGTCATTTCACCAACATTTAAACAGAGTAACAGTTCAAAGTATAAGTTTACATCTTAAAGAAAAATGAGGTAAATTATCACAATATAACAGACAATTTAAATATTTCCTGAGCTGTTTTAAAAAGGACAAAACCATTGATAATCAACCTTTGAGCACTTCTAGTCAAATATAACACACCTATATTGAGTTCCGACATTGCAACATCTACAAACAGTATGAAACAAATTCAAACCATGCTTGCCAACACCTAAGAACAGCATAAGCCAGACAACATCTTTAATGACTTCATTTAAAACACTTAAATATGTTGTGTAAAAGACCCTACAGTAATATAAACACCTTTTTTCAGATGCTTTTGTTTCCTGTGATAGTAATTATATGATGTTTCTGTTGCTGTGAAAATACATCTATGGTTTTGTGTTCTTTGACAGTATCTGTCTCTGACCAGTGTGTAGGTGTACCAGATTAATGGTATCCTCTCCACCATGACAGTATCTGTCTCTGACCAGGGTGTAGGTGTACCAGATTGATGGTATCTTCTCCACCATGACAGTATCTGTCTCTGACCAGTGTGTAGGTGTACCAGATTAATGGTATCTTCTCCACCATGACAGTATCTGTCTCTGACCAGGGTGTAGGTGTACCAGATTAATGGTATCTTCTCCACCATGACAGTATCTGTCTCTGACCAGTGTGTAGGTGTACCAGATTAATGGTATCCTCTCCACCATGACAGTATCTGCCTCTGACCAGGGTGTTGGTGTACCAGATTAATGGTATCCTCTCCACCATGACAGTATCTGTCTCTGACCAGGGTGTTGGTGTACCAGATTAATGGTATCTTCTCCACCATGACAGTATTTGTCTCTGACCAGGGTGTAGGTGTACCAGATTAATGGTATCTTCTCCACCATGACAGTATCTGTCTCTGACCAGTGTGTAGGTGTACCAGATTAATGGTATCTTCTCCACCATGACAGTATCTGTCTCTGACCAGGGTGTAGGTGTACCAGATTAATGGTATCTTCTCCACCATGACAGTATCTGTCTCTGACCAGGGTGTAGGTGTACCAGATTAATGGTATCTTCTCCACCATGACAGTATCTATCTCTGACCAGGGTGTAGGTGTACCAGATTAATGGTATCTTCTCCACCATGAAGTATCTGTCTCTGACCAGGGTGTAGGTGTACCAGATTAATGGTATCTTCTCCACCATGACAGTATCTGTCTCTGACCAGGGTGTAGGTGTACCAGATTAATGGTATCTTCTCCACCATGACAGTATCTGTCTCTGACCAGGGTGTAGGTGTACCAGATTAATGGTATCCTCTCCACCATGACAGTATCTGTCTCTGACCAGGGTGTAGGTGTACCAGATTAATGGTATCTTCTCCACCATGACAGTATCTGTCTCTGACCAGGGTGTAGGTGTACCAGATTAATGGTATCTTCTCCACCATGACAGTATCTGTCTCTGACCAGTGTGTAGGTGTACCAGATTAATGGTATCTTCTCCACCATGACAGTATCTGCCTCTGACCAGGGTGTAGGTGTACCAGATTAATGGTATCTTCTCCACCATGACAGCCCTGCCTCTGACCAGGGTGTAGGTGTACCAGATTAATGGTATCTTCTCCACCATGACAGCCCTGCCTCTGACCAGGGTGTAGGTGTACCAGATTAATGGTATCTTCTCCACCATGACAGTCCTGCCTCTGACCAGGGTGTAGGTGTACCAGATTAATGGTATCTTCTCCACCATGACAGTATCTGTCTCTGACCAGGGTGTAGGTGTACCAGATTAATGGTATCTTCTCCACCATGACAGTCCTGCCTCTGAAGTCTTTTCACAGCTGATTAAAATTGTTTTCCTTATCAAACGTTGCAAAGGAAGCAATCAAAAGCTAATAGAAAAACTGGAATATGGAATGCATATTAATTCAAGAGGCCTTTTCAGTGTCATGATAAAGAAATTGTGACATTGATGATAGTAAGCCAGTGTCAATACATGCATACCATCAAAACTGTCATCCTATACTAATAATTCTTACAAAGTTATTTCCATTTTTTATGTTCAAAAATGCAAATTTTCTATAAAAATTAGAGTAAAGTTAACTTCTTCTCCAGGAAGAAATGTGAGACCCATTTAAAGCCCGTTAAGATGCTTCTATCCATTAGGAACATTTGATTCTACCATATCTGAGTGTTGAGAAGAAGATTCTTGAAATCTGAATCAATAGGACTCCTTTTGACCCCACCCATCAGCCTGGGCTTGGAGTCTGCGAGGATCCATTAATGCATACCATCAAGCCATCATCTTTCCCTTATAATTCTAACCTAGTTTTGAAATATTTCCAATTTCCAATTACGTTCAAAGATCAATTTTTCCTATATAAACTATAGTAAACTTCAGCCCCTCCAAAGGGACAAATGCAAGAACCTAGGCCTGTGAAATTCACTTGGTATGCTTCCATCTATGAAGAGCATTTGATTCTACCATATCTGGGTGTTGACAAATTTGACACTTTGGGCCCCACCCCTCAAGCCCCTAAGAGGGTTGGGGACCTTGAAATTCACTATTTTGGTTCATCTTAGGCCAGGGAAGTTTTCTGCAAAATTTTATTGAAATCGGTTCAGGGATTTTGAGAAAAAGTTGAAAATGTTAAATTGTTGACGGACACAAAGCGCGTGAGGCTGGACAAAGGTCACCACAAGATTTTGTCTTAGGTGATCTAATAAACAAATATTAGCTATGACAAATGCACAGCTAATCAATGAATGAATAGTATTTATATAAAATGTAAATACCAAAGTCTAAATATGGCACACATTTACAATGTTTTCCATGAACATCATACATTTGATGTATATAAAGTTGACATGAAAGATGGATGATGTCGGGATTAAATCATGTTGTTTCTGGAGGAACCAGTGGAAAGTAACAGTTTACTATCTTAGAAAGTTACGCATTACACAGTATGAAAAGAATAAAGAATTTCAGTTCTTCTTCCAGAAATGATTTACAGAACATTTGGTTGAAAAACATAAAACTCAACAACATATCCCTGCTCCAGATTAACATCTTCACTCCCAGAGAGACCATTAGTCCTTAAACATGACATTGTTTACATCTACAATGACAATACAACATTATTTACATCATACTACCCTTTGGCTGATGTTTCTTTCTTATTTCACCATGTTATCAAACATTCACTTCACTTTACCATTTAAATGACTGATACAACCTTCAAAACTGAATAAGGAAATGCAATGATCCAACGTTCTGGCTAACCTCAGTCATCGATCGGATCATGAAGGGAAAAAAAATGGATACCTTACAGTATTCAAAAGAGCCCCGTCAAGGAAGGTAGATACAACTGACATGGAAGATGGAGCGTCAACATCTGGATTCTGTGATTTGATTATTGGTTTACATGTTTTAGCATGCTAGGCTAGTCATCATCAGAATACTATAACAATGTACTACCAACACTATCACTTGAATGTCGGACAAGAATGTGGCTGATTTTCAAGCACACAGAATTTGTATGTAAACTGTGTTGATATAACTTAACTATAATGGTGCCATTGTATTGTCATTACCATGTGATAAAGACAATTGTAATTATGTCACTGTTGAGTCGTAATTTTAACCTTACCTATGTAAACATATATACTGTTGTTCTGTTGACAGCTAGCCTAGCTAGTTGAAACATGTAAACCAATAATAAAAACCATGAAATCCAGATGTAGATGCTCCATTTTCTACATCCTAATTGTGTACAATGTAATGTATAAATCACCATGTATATATGAACAAAGATTACCTCTATTCCCAGACTTCAACCTTTCATGTTAATTCTTACTAGCAACTCTATGTAATAGTCAAAGGGAGATAACTTACCAGTAAATAACTTTCAAGCACCATCATTTCCTACTTTAATACTGAAATAATTACAAGCAGATTAATAATAATACTGTACTTGTATCTTCTCATCTATGTTGCACATTTTTATGTATGGGCAAGGGGAAAAAAGCCTCTTGAATGTTTCCCTATATCAAAATTATATGGTGTTTACGAATTAAGTGCTTTGGACTTCCCTTTCCTTGAATGTGTATGCAATTTACGATCCCTACACCGATTAAAAAACTGACAACTTAAGGTCTTCTGGTCAAACATTATGGATCTAGACATCAATATTAAAATGATGTGCCATCATAAAGTCATTTGAAGAGTTATCATGTATGTCACATGTAACTCTGACGACAGTTTCATGTCTCTCATTTGAAAATCTGTACCATTGTAAAGCTACACATCCAAATCAGTATTGTGACTCTGTATGACGGCATTGAAATTGGAAAGACGTAGGACATTACAATATTCTGATACAGTGTACTTTACTTAAGCTAATAAAGCAAGGTAAACTTCCTTACTATATAACTTATTTCATGTTTTCCCATCTCATACATAAACATTTTATAATCAAACACATTTGCCCTAATCTTTGTGCTAAAAGCTGTACAAGGATTTTCAGACAGTCAACAAGAAGCAATGAAGAGGTAAATACTTTTGACTGTAGCATAGTAAGGCTTCATACTACTTGTTACATCATTTTTAATATCATTACATGCACTTTTCATAAAAGTTTTATGTTATCGACTGGTATCTATTGTTACAAGAATTCTGGACAAAGTTCTCCCAACATGTGCATACCAAGTAAATTCTAAATATTGAACACTAAGCTTGAACAGTAAAATTTAATAATTCATAGTTATAGAGCAATTATTACATTTCTTTGAATAAATTAGTTATCAAATAATTTCGCAACAAAAAGGAAATACATGTATAAATGATATTCAGGTGGACTTTTTTCTTCATCTTTTTTTAAGTATCATAAAAAAGACAGGAAGCAATATATCATATGCATGCAACGAGGATATCAAATTATTAGATATATCAAAATTCTAATAAGGTTTATATCAATGCACTATGTTTTGAAGTAACTATCTGTGTAATTCAACTAAATCTACAATACTGATTGTTTTTTCTTGTATATTCTTGTTACATTGTATACAAAATAAGGGAATCAAAAACACTTCAATGCTATCTTTTATGCTGCAGTATTAACCGTTAACCAGACTGTAATACAAAATATATAACCAAAATGGTAAAACACAATGGTTGAAAAGATTACAGATATATTTCCTTCATTGGAATCCTGCTGTTCAGGATTTCATCAACATCCTTGAGAATAAGGTACAACTTGAGAGATTCAGGAAGCTGAAACGGTAGACTGCTAATTGTGACTGAGATAGCAGTTCCAAGACTTCTACGAAATGTCTTGCGTGCCAGGTGTCCTAAAGACAGAGGTTGGGTGAGCTGGCGACTACACCATCGCCCCACGGCAGGATTCACTTGGTGTATGTGAGATATCTGTTGCTGAGACCAGCACCAGCCTGCAGCTGTAGCATACAGAATCAACTTCTGCAGTACACTGTTCTTGTTCTCCTTGGAATCCCAGTAAGATTCAAGGTAGTACATGAAGGAATTCACCACATATTCCAGTTCAGCATGTAAACCATAACGTACTAGTTTCACGCTGAAGTCTGAAGCATTCATCAACAATGGGTCTATGCTGTCCATGTAAATTGGTTGGTGTCTATGTAGTTTCTGAAGAAGAAGCTCATGGAATTTGAATGACTTTGAACAATCAATGGCTGCCTGTATAAGCCTGTAAAGAAACAACTCATCATTATATTTCAAGGCAGTTCGTACAACATACATCATAGCATCTTTACAGACTGGTTCAGAATTGGCCTCCATAAGGCACTTGATTATCTGCCAAGCCAATGTATGGCGAGGCTCCAGACGATTGTCGAAGGCAGTTATAACAGCAAGGTCTAATGCTGAACAGTTATTGACATTCAAACAGTTCTTTTTACACAGAGTTTGTGCCAGTAAAATACGAACTAGCTGTAAATGGGTAAGTTTCACTGACAGAATCAAAGCTGTTTCTCCTTTTTCATTCAGTGGTGTATTGATATTTGCACCACAGTTAATCAATTGATCTAGACATTCTCCATCATTGTTGACAACAGCATTTTCAAGTTCTCGCCATGTTGCATTATCAACATCACCCTCATCCTCTGATCCACTGCTTGGCAAGGCGACATCTGCATCAATGTTTCGGTTGATACCTGGCATACAACTTGTTGGCCAGAGGTGATGACCTTTCACATTCTGGTTACCCATCATGCCACATCATTCTAACAAAGTGTCAGGAACGTGATGACAGTTTACCCAAGGTCCAGAAAGTTCATCATCTGAATTCATAAAATAAGTTTATTCAATCATCATTTTTCATACCTCTTTTCACAGGTACAGGAAATGATTAGAAACATGCTACTGTATTGATGTACATATAATTTTCATCAAGGGTTTATCAATAAAAGTCCATCATGGTTATTTACAATAACACACCTTTTGTTTAAATGGAATTGATATTTGGTGATATAGGACTGAATTTTGTATACATATATACTGAAGAAATTAATATGAATCACCTACTTGGGGACAAACTTAAGTATCAACAAGTGGGCATTCACTCTTGTCAATATAGTAAGACACATTTATTAACTTCTGAACTGGACACTCCACTGCTCACAAAAAAAACTGTTCATTGAAAAACCTTTGCCCCAGAACTTAACAACTGTATACATATGGCATTATGGTACAGCATATTCTCTGGACAAGATAGCAAACTGGGAACAAAGGGCCATAACTCTAAATATGTGTAGAAGGTGGTGAGTTGCAGGTCTTGAGTTTATCATAAAACACTGATGAAACATACACATTATTGTAGGTGAGATGAACTAACCCATCGTTTTTATACATTATACACTCTAGATGTATTCCTTGAGGTAAACTTTATGGCATGCAAAATTTTACAGTTTCATGTGGATGAGTGTTTGAGGTGCCACGGATAATGTGATGTTCTGTGATGAGTGACAATCTGAGGTCAAATATAGTCTTCCTCAAAAAAACCCACTAATGCATAATGTTTGCAGTGCAAACCATCTATTTGGACATTTTTGAGAAAACCAATGCCTGGTTTATGATTACAGAGCCTAACTTTCGAATCAATATTTTTACCTGCATCTAAAGAAATATAGCAGTCTACAAGAATATAAATTTTGGATAAATAAGTTTAATATCATGTATTGTATTCTTTTGAGTCTGGTGAATTGGATTTTCCGTGTCTTGTACAGAAATAAGCTTAATTAATTAAATGACCATAAATAGATCTCCCATCTGCACTTTAGAGAAGAATGTATGACCCAGGATGTATAAAAGTGATAGGAGACTGTCAGTCAGTATCTCTTTGTAAACCTACATATAGCAAAGAAATTGTTGTGTTTATATACTTTTTCTCAAAAAGTAAATGACCTTTTCAGAATAAACTGCAGTAAAAAGCTAAACAATTTCAAAACGGATTGTGCTAACTCAAAAACCCACATGTTTTAAATATATTTACATCTGGAATATCTGATATGATAAAGATTATTTCTCAATCAATGGCATTAAATAAAAAAGACATATAATTTTCCACATGATTAATATCAATTTTCATGATACAACATTTTTATAAATTGATTAATATTATTTTGCATTTTTCTTACTGATCAACAATATGGCTGTTGCCAGTGCTGAAGTCAACACCGACACCTACAACTGTGAGGAGAGCAGATTTCATGAATTCAATGACACAGAAAACATAAGAGAGACTTCCACTGGGCATTGTTCTTCCTTCCTATATCATACGTTCCTAGTACAACGATAAATTGGGAACTGATAACAAAACAATGTTTTAACTAATAATGGATAACTACTCTCTCTCTCTATCCATCGACAGCTGTTCCAAGTATAATTAGATGAAACCTGTCAAAGGTCTTAGAAGGTAAACGTAAAAATTCGCCTCGATGTAAGGTGAGAGCTCATGTTCTTAGCTCGGTGTTAAAAACATGTATGTACTTATATGTATAGTACAAACATAGCCTTATTATTTTTATCAGCGAACTGTGGCGGAGTACGCTAGTAGAAGCACTATCGCCAGTCCTTTTGCGTGTCCAGTGTAGGTGTACATAAGATAGGCACTTTGTAACGATTTAGCAGTGTTATATGGAATAACCGAACAATGAATTAAACATTACCTGTCTTTTCATGGTTGCCGTTTTATACAATAGGCCTAATTATAAATCACTGTCAATCTTTTGACAGCAGCAAGCTCAGTTGTGATCACTCGATATCAACAGTACGCTTTGTGTGAGTTGTAGTGCAAACCAAGCATTTATAAAACTCAGATTACAGCATCAATTCAGAGGGCGCTTTTAAAATGGAGGAACGACGCTCCGACCGACAAAGGAGCTGCAAGAACAAATCAAAGTCTAACGGTAACGACAAAAAGCCACCACAAGAAACACAGCCAGTTGTAGTCGAAGAGGACAATGCAAATTCTAACGATGGGACCGGTAGTGACGATGGAAATGTAAGTTTGCACATAGGTTTGAAAACAATAAAAGCTAACAAGACTTGTTAGTTTCATACACATAGTGCGATATGAAGTGATGACTATGTACAGTAGTCCGAAAAGCACTGGCTATTAGCCCGCGATTTTATTTTTGTATTTGTCTGGTCTCGAGCGGGTAGATAGTCGACCCGACAAAGACAAAATAAGATGTCAATCATTCGGAGTATGTTCAGCGTACAGTTAATATAAGCTCACACTCTAACACTGTAAGAAGAAAAAACAAGCACTTAGCTCTCAGATGAAAAACAGTATATCTATATGTCACTTACATACTGAAAGGATAAAGAAACGCAGGGTAATATTTATTCCGATATTTTGAAAATGCGTTCTCCGAATAAAGTGAAACTTTGTGGATTGAGTAATTAGGTCATATTACACCTTGTCACATACTTGCCAACTTTTTGAAATTCTCATGGGGGAGAAAAGTATGTGAACGACATTTTCAACTCGGTCGCTCAGTTTCGCGTTATCAGGAATAACCACATCATCATGAATTTGCATAATCCAGTACTGTTTTATCCTGCAATAAGCCCATGCCATGTAATAAGCCATTCATGTCTTTTTCAGAGATTTCAAAATTCACTGCCCTACATAAACTATCCCTGCATTCTGCAACAAGCTCACCCCCACATATTGTTCAATATTACCAAACACTGGCTTCCTGGGCTTATTGCAGGGTAAATACAGTAAACGTTCCAATCAAAGCATTTGAGATCACTCCAGTATAGACCTACAGAAATAACAACATTTGATGTTTTAGCTATTTGTTTCATTTAACAAATTTGATCAATTCTTCTACAACAGAATTGAGAAATTAATGTGATTTATTTGCATCAAATGTTGTTTCTTTCTGATGGAAAATTTAAAATAACCAGACAAGTGCAATTGGTTTTTAAGTTTTTAATAATCAAATCTTGCATTGATATTGGATGCTTTTTTGTAGAAATAAATTATATCAAAATAGAGATCTCACTCTGACTCTGAACACAATTCCATAAAGAAAAAAAACCAATCACAACAACTACACAATATAATCTTGCATCCAAACCATCAGAAACATGTCACTAATATAAATAATTTAATTTCATCACATAAAAACTCGGTCTGATCTCTGAAGATAGAGGGGGAACATGACAGTTCCTTATTGTAGCTAATACATGCAGACTTCGCGGTCGCTAAAGTCGTTGTCGATGGCTTATAGTTGTAGCAGTCCTCATCCCTCTTCAGCTTGCAGGTCAGTAAAGCTGACAAAGTTGACTGGTCTAAAAGTGATAGTTGGTCTGTTTGTACCTTCCGTAGCACTGAAAACACTCGTTCACAGTCAGCGTTGCTGTTCGGCAGGGTACACAATGATGTGGCCAGTTTGTACAAAATGGGGAATCGCATGGACCTGGTTACTGCAGTCTTACAGCTGGCAATCCCTCCCCAGAAACTGTCTACAGGTGTTTTCCCATCCTCCCACTTTGGCAAGTCAGCATCCGGGCATAACTGAAATTCTCTATATTCCTCCTCAAGGGTGCCAAGTTGACCATCCTGAATGACAGAAGGAAATCTCTTCCCTATCTCCACAACATTTGCTGGATTTACATGATCCCGTGAGGAAGGCACAATAAACTGAAGTTTGTTGATGACTGGGTCATGAAATGGGAATTTCTTCACCATCTTGTCCACAGCTGCTATGTAAAATCTCCTCACACTGCTGAAGAACCTTGCTGTGACTCCTTGAGTGTCTTCATCATGCTCACTTAGGTAAGCCCGAGTGCAAAGTCCAACAGCTAGGTATGGATCTTTCAGATGAACAGTGGTGTCTCTGTAAGGTACGGCTGTCACATCCTCTGCTTCCCTTATCGTCTTCGCCAAGACAAACTTTCCAGGCAGCTTCCTCAAGAGTTGTTGCATCTCCTTCCCCAGGTATGGAAGATGAGTGTCATCTGCCTGGAACATGGTGTTGAATTCCACAAGGAAGGGGAGAATAAATTGCAGGAAATGGAAGTAGAGCAACATCTCAGGGTTAGACAACAGGTCAGCACATCTCTTGACACGTCCAGGCTTCTCCACATCTTCGTGAGATAAGAAGTACAACTTCAGGGCTGGCCAATGATGGAGAGTTCGCTCAACTGCTCTCTGAAGACTAAGCCATCTGGTTGAACAGTGCTTGAGGATCTTGGCTGGCTCAATATTAAGGAAGTCCAGGAATTCCTTATATTCTTCTTTGCGCTTGGCACTATGATGAAAGTGGTAGAAGATGTCGATCAGAAGGTCCTCAACAGGCAATGGTATGGTTTTAACAGCTGCCACAGTACACAAATTGGTCAAATGGCACACACATCCCAAGTCAAATATATCTGGTTGCACCTCCCGAATGCGACTGATGACGGAGTTATGACGTCCTGTCATCACACTGCAGTTGTCTGACATGAAGCTGATGCAGTTTCTCCATGGTATGTCGTAATCCGTCAGGACCTGGTTGAGGTGATGGAAGATGTTCTGTCCAGTTCCAATGTTACATATCGGCAGGGCAAGAAACTTTGTTGTGGCAAGTTTGTCGAAGTATCGCACAAGAATGGCTAAACTCTTCTCACCGTTGTGGTCATTGCTTTCATCACAGCTCAGTGAAAATGGATGGCTCTGGCAGTGCTCCACAACCTCTTCTTTCAAGACCGGGGCAAGTGACCTCTTGATAATCTGTGTTGTCTTGGTCCTTCCACAATGAAACTTCTGTGCAATTTTACTGTCTGGAAACATCTGCTTACATAGCTTTGTGAAGTGGTCAGCGGTGTTGAAGGACAGGTTGTGTTCACAGATGAAGTTGGCAAAGAGGCATTCAGCAGTGATAACAGCTTGATCATCAGTCTGTTTTGTGAAGAAGGATGGCAAACTTTTGGAGGTATTCTCTGCCTTTTCATTGGACTTGTGCATTGCTGTTGTTGCGTGCTTTTTGACATCATTCTTCCCTCCATGGCTGACACTAAAATTTCTTCTGCATACCTGGATAAAAATTAAAAAAATATTGTCTAGTCAATTATTATTAATTGTATAAATTATTTTTTATTGATTTTTTTTTTCTCAAATCTTTAACATAATTCACAAAACCGTGTATTGACAAATCTAAAAATTTCAATACCGTCTGTCACAGAAATAAATGAAAGAAAAATATAAGTGTCTTTCTGTGGTAATAAAGAAGGTAATCTTGGCCTTTTTGCTTACATTCTTATATAATCTCTGATTTCACATAAGATCTCGTTATTTAAACGTAGGCTGTAGAATAATTTTAACGATGCATTCGCAGAACAAAATGCAGAAAACAATATAAGAAAACATCGTCTACTTAACGACTTTATCGCCTATGTATGGTCGACTTTTAACGTAAAATCAATTTAATCCAAGCATACAAGCCTAAACGTAAACAAATATCGCATTACAGTATGAACTCTCCACTTTGACCGTACGTGCGAGGTCGGAGCAGGACAGGTGAATCAAGCGATCTTACCTTACAAAAAGCATTTGTCTGGCTTGTCGACCCATGGAAATTCTTGTTCCCACGATAATTGGTACTTGGTGTCATATTTTCCACGTTTAGGGCTGGGTTTTGGTGGAGAAAGGACCATGATAAATTTCCAAGTTCTCAAAATGGCGGAAGCGTGGGTGAAGCCAAACTCGTGAAGAAACGATCAGTCTGTTTTCTGATTGGTTAAAAATCGTATGACGTCATCAGGAACTCCAAGTCGATTCTTATTGGTTAGAATCGGGAGTTTTCTCAAAGAAGCGGGAGGGATTCCCCAAAATCGGGAGATATCGCTGTTTTAAGACTCACGATCGGGAGTCGGGAGACGGGGTGAAAAATCGGGAGGCTCCCGCCTAAATCGGGAGGGTTGGCAACTATGTTGTCATGTATCAAAAATTTAGTCACGGTACAGTGCGCAGCTCTGGTAAATGGAGGAAAGAAAAAACAAGAATCTCGTGCACCGTGTTGTTCTGGTCTCATGCAGCATTGGTCAAGTCACTCTTCGTTATCTTTATACAGACGAACTGCTTCCCTAGAATTAAATGAGAATTTGATTCGTTTTAAGAATGGCACGACTCACAGAAGTTCAGATGGGTCAGGCCATTCAAATGCTGATGCAAGGACAGCTGCAAAATCAGGTTGCTAGGCACTTTGGTGTTAATGTTTCCACCACAGAACGCCTTGTAAGAGGTCGTCGGGAAACTGGGCGATTGGCCGATCGACCAAGGTCAGGACGTCCGCACGTAACGTCACGATGTCAGGATGGCTATATTGTCGTCTCTCATGTGCGTAATTGGCGCCTTACTGCCATTGAGAGTGCACTTAATGTTCTTGGAAATCATGGGCGTCCTATAAGTTCAAAAACTCTAAGGAATCGATTACGAGAAGTTGGTGTAAGAGCATGTCGCCCCTACGTAGGTCTACACCTTACCCCTGCTCGACGCTCGTATGGCCTGGGTCACTGCACATGCTCCACGACGGTTTCCACTGAGGCAGTGAAGACAAGTTTTCTTCATGGACAAGTCTCGATTCTGTCTTTATCGATCTGACGGCTGTCAACGTGTCTACCGACGTTGTGGCGAACGTTTTATGGACGCTTGCGTTGTAGAGAGGGATAGGTTTGGGGGCGGTTAAGTAATGGTGTGGGGAGGAATCTCACACGGGTTAAAATCACAGTTGGTTGTTATTGATGGCAATTTAACAGCAGCTAAGTATAGAGATGAGATCCTCCAACCCCATGTTATCCCTTTCTTACAGCAGCATAATCTAACCCTTCAGCAGGATAATGCTAGGCCCCACGTAGCAAGGATTTGCCAAGTCTTTCTGGCCAACAACAATATTCAACCACTAGATTGACCGCCATATAGATTTGTCCCCGATTGAGCATCTTTGGGACCAGTTGGATAGACCGGTTCGAAAGCGCCAGCCACCCCCTGCTACTCGAGAGCAGTTGACCAGAGCTCTGATTGAAGATTGGGACAACATCCCCATAAGACGGATTAATGTTCTCATGAACTCTATGACCAGAAGAATAAGGGCCGTGACCACAGCAAACAGCGGACACACAAGATATTGATGACTAGTTCAATTTCAATTTCAAAATCCTATGGGTCCATTCAATTTAATCGTTAGTACCTCTAAACCAATTGTCAGATGCAAAATAAAGACTTTGGAAATTTTTAAGCTTTAATTTATCTGTAAGTATACAAAATTTCATTTTAAATGAAGCCCGATATCATACTTAATTTCTGGTTTAAAGTTCACCCTGCGTTTCTTTATCCTTTTAGTATATGTACTGTTTTATTTCCAGAAAGCTAAATGCCTGTACATGTGAACAAATAAGGCAGCTAATGCGACCAAAACAAAAATAAGATTTCAGATAGATGTAGTCGGAACCTTTCAGACTGGGTATCTCACATGCTTTACAAAAAGATGCTGATTAACTGCCATTAGTTATTTCTTTGTTAAAAGAGAACATGTATATCTTGATTGCATCCTTTGCAAAGTCTATATACTATAGCACACATGTATTATTTAAATTTATATTGTTGTATTATTTTTTCCACAGAATTTTTGTGCCACTATTATATATGTTAACGTTAATCTGATATCGACCTTGGGCCCAAATGAAAATCACACTATTTCCTATTTATATAAATATGTAATTTTATGATTTATTTGTACATAAGTATCTAAGTAGCCATACTGCGATTTTTACCTGAGGCTAAAGATGATCTGACAGACAAAACATGTTATTTGGAAGTTAAATTCAATTTTCCCATTTTATTATAGAGTTATCAGTTTTACCCTGTTAGGTCATTTGACCTGAAGGGTCAGGATGACTTATAGTCATAATTTTGTACATTGTTATGCATTGTCCGCAGTGTGTAAACTTTCCATTCAAATGACTTTTTCTCAATAACCAGAAGGCTCAGGATACTGATATTGGTCCTGTAGCATGATGGGATGAATGGTTACCAAGTTTGTTAATATGAATGACCTTGACCTACATTCAAGATCACAGGGATCAAATATGTCAAAATCTCTAAATGACTTCTTCTCAATGACCAAAAAGCCAATGGTCCTGTATAAAGAAAATGATTTCAAGTTTGCAGAAAATGTCTTTATGAACCATCCAATGTCTTCGATGTAAGCTGTAGTGTACTTGAGCAATTTATTTTAGGCCTATTTGGCCTCTTTCATATATAGGTTTTTATAGTCAGATGACTCTTAAGGCCTGTGGGCCTCTTGTTACAGAATGTTAATTAAGAGAACTTACAATGTATTATTATTGAGAAATACATTTCTACTTAATGGTTAGGATACAATTTATGTATGTATATACCTAGTAATGTTCTTCAATTATGAAAGATATTGACAATCCATTCAATAAATGAGGAAAACATATTCAGTTGTCAAAATCAGTTCAGTTTATCAGATCTGAAGTGCCTGGCATGATGGATATCATTTTGTTTACATAAATTTATTTTATTTACAATTCAAATTTATATGGTCCTGAACAAGATTTCTAAATTAAATTGTTCAAATTTATGCAAAAAGTGTAATATTCAAACTTTTAACTGAATTCTTTGATCAATGTTAGTTGTATGCTATATAAAATATGTATACAATATATGCTCATATAGAGTTAATGTTTCCCTTTCAGAGGTCAGAGGTTATTTGATATTTTGTTTTACTTGTGTAGACTGTGACAAAGCAGCTCCGTATGCTGACATTTGCTAATCCAGGGAAGTTTATGGATAACTTTGATCCTGAGAGAAGTGCCAGAGAAATGAGAAAAATGAACAGAAGGATATACAGAGAGAAGTAATAATTAATTACTTACTTTACATATTTTATGGTATCAACATACAATAAACTGTTACATTGTAGTAACATTTATACTGTGTGGTATGTGTACACTTGAATTGTGAAAATTCTTGCCAGTTTTCTAGATACAACAGCCTGTGAATGATTTGCTAAAAGTTAAATCTTCGCCATGTTCAAACTGGCCACCATGGCAGCTTTCATTAAATCTTGTTGTCACTTTATATTTCTTTTGTAAGGAAAACCCTATTTATGTATATGCAGTATATTACACACGGTTCGATTAATGATATCAATGTCATTTATTTTGATATTAGTCATTTAAATAAAGCATTTTGAGAAAGTTTGTCGCAAGATACTCCACTACAAATTATACAGCATATGTAGGTAAAAAGCTGCTGTTATAGTATGAAGCCTAACAAAATGATTCAGAGAATATCTATCATCAGCAGTACCTCGCGACCCTCGCCAGCCTCCAGTGGGGTCCCTCAAGGGAGTGTACTACAGTTCTGTTATCAAATAACACACCAAAAACTTTTTATACACATCATGCATACATTATCTGCACATTTGGGATAAATCCTCTGCTAGGTACAGTACCAAGTGCACAGTGTGTGATTTGGTAACAATGGTTGTTTAATATTTCAGATTGAAAATTAAATGGAAAACTTGTGAAGTTATGACTAAATAGGTTATTTTTAATTTGGCAGTTATTGAAATACAACTTGACCCTATAGCCTACTTTGATTAGTTTCCCTAGTTTATTAAGTTTTAAACCTCAGAGAATGGCGAGTGGTATGCCCAAGACAGCAAAAATGACCTGCATATATTGGTTCCAGTATATACTTGACAGGTCTTTGCCAGCTAGGTCTCAAGTGTAAGAAACACAACACTTACAATTGATATATAGTTTTTCTTTACAAAATGGTAAAAAATGATGAGAGTAATACAGAAGGAATGTAAATAAAAATTCTGGCAGTAGAAGATTTTAGATGATTGATTGCACAAAAGACATAACATTACATTCATTTTGTGTTTATACATATGATATATATCACTTTTGTCAATACACTGAGACTGGTACTGCATCGCCAGAACACTCAAGTTTGTTGATGAGACGATACTCGACAACAGGAGGCATCAACCAACCAACTAAGACTGGTCATTTGTGGCACTTTGAAAACCTCATAGATATCCATGTGTCAAGCTTATGAATATTGGGCTTAACTGGGAAATAAACTTAAGGGATATTCAGCACAAGTTAGGATATCATGGTATGCTTTTGAAGAAAACTGTACAAAATTATCTACTTAATATGTTCTTATGGAAATTGTACACCTCAATTTACTATACAAATAAACATCTGAAATTTTATATATTTTGACACTAACGATAGTTAAAAAAGTCATTAGAATGAGTTCTTAAAAGGTACAGTGTGGCCAGAACTTTTGCAGCTTGGACAGAATAACTCTTTAAGTGTACTCTTATATACACAATGTATTTAGAAAATAAATAAAGCCTATTCCACACTTATCCATAAGTCTATTCTAAATTTATTTGTTAATAACCATGAAAGAACCACACGTCTGTGGATAGAACTGCAATCATGCACACAGATGTGTGATAGCAGGTAGTCTTCCATGTACACATGGTTCATACATCAATCATACTACACAGGCATTGCACATTGTGTAGGACCTGTTTTTCTCAAATTTGAGCTGAGATTACATTCTTGGGACACAAAATTATTTCACTTAACTATATATACCTATACCCAAGATCTGCGAAATGTTCAACATAAAAATCTCGGTCATAAAACAATGTCATATAACAAAAACAAGTTGGGCACAGCACTAGTTTTGTAAGCAACTCACTTTGTAAGGTTTATAGATTTGTTTTTTATTTCACTGTAATTACCTAATGAACTCTATACGAATCAGCGAGTTCATTAAACTTCATAAATTCACTCCATCTTTCTTTCACAGTATCCGTAAGAACCAGCTGTATGATGAGACAGGAGTCCTGTTGGACAACAGTCTGGATCTCTGTGACTGTTTAGATATGGAATGTGAAGGTTGTCACTTTCCTTGTCCCAAGTGTGGCTCCGAGAAATGTGGTACAGAATGTCGTTGCTGTCGCAAATGGTTCTACGAACATGTGGAGGTGGAAGGCACTAATCTGACACTAAAGTGGCCTATACAAACACAGACTTCTACGTCAACAAGCTAGCTGTTGTGTGTTTACTTATCAAAATATGTCTACTGGTTGTCTGTTTACATATAAAGTATTACTTGACCAAATGCAAAATCGTATTTGGTCAAATAACTTCTACAAATTAACAAATTAGCTCTCTGGGCTGCTGAGGTGAATCAGAATGATTGCTAAATCTTTCAAAATTCTAAAAGTGTTGATCAACAAGTCTGTTAACTGGTGCACTAGGAGAAGAAATGTGATCGGGAAGCCTATTGGCCAATATTGGATCTTAAAATCTTTTCCCATCATTTCTCTGTACTGATGCCAAGTCTTGGACGTGTTGAATATTTATGCAGTTACTTTTCCTCTTTCATCATATTCAAAATATTAATTTTTTCAGGTTTATTAGAATGTTTTCAAATGTTTGGGACCAAAAACTTAAGTGATGACTTACCAGTGTTTCTAACATCACGCCTTGTTAATTGTGATCTTGCACATACATAATGTGTTAATTGTTATGTGTAATTTGATATTCATACTGAATTATTGCATTTCTCAGTAAACTATTTTCAAGTATGAATTATCGAGTACATGTCTGGATTATGTAAAATTGTTCAGATATTCTGAATGTATTTAATGTAATATTTAAGGTAAGTTATTAAATTGGTGACAATCTGAATTATTCTCACTTTCTACAAAGGACCGAATCTAACTTCAGATTGCTGTAACACCTTTATAAATCTTGCGTAATACAGTATAGGTGAGACAATTCTGAATAACAATTAGATCTAAAGACATGCTGCTTTTAGAACTACAGAATTAGTGTCTAGTCTAATATGTTGATGAATGCTCCACACGATATATATGATCCAATACAAAAGCTGTTTCGAAATAAAAGTACTTCAATATTGTTTACCCAGATTTTGTTTCAATTTACACATTTACGAAAGTCATGACTCATTTTATTATGGATAGCAGATTAAATTCACTCTCTTCTTTTTTGCGTTGGCTATGGTTGTTTAATTGAGTGTTTTACTGGGGTCTAGGTTTTCTAAGTGTCAATGTGTTGTTGTTCCAGAAAGTGTTACTTTAATGGGGTTTAGGGTTTAAATGTCATTGGCTATTGTTGTTCCAGAAAGGGCTACTTTGATGGGGTCTAGGTTTTGTAAGTGTCATTGTGTGTCACTGACTGTTGTTGTTCCAGAAAGGGCTACTTTTTTGTAAGTGTCATTGTGTGTCACTGACTGTTGTTGTTCCAGAAAGGGCTACTTTGATGGGGTCTAAGTTATCAAAGTGTCATTGTGTGTCACTGACTGTTGTTGTTCCAGAAAGGGCTACTTTAACAGGGTCTAGGTTTTGTAAGTGTCATTGTGTGTCACTGACTGTTGTTGTTCCAGAAAGGGCTACTTTGATGGGGTCTAAGTTCTCTAAGTGTCATTGTGTGTCACTGACTGCTGTTGTTCTAGAGAGTGTTGCTTTAATGGGGTTTAGTTGTCGCTTGCTGGTTTTGTTTCAGGGTTTCTTTAATGGGGTCTAAATTTTCTAAGTGACAGTGCGTAAATAACTTTCCGTTTGAAGGAATATTTCTTAGATTGAGTATAGGTTCTCGAAGGGTTAGGATGACACAGAGTCATTGTGTTTTGTCCGTTGTCATGCTCTGTTTGTCGTCCGCTATGCATAAACCTTCCCTTCAAATGACTTCTTCTCACTCATTGACCAAAAATGCCCTAGGCACTGATATGAGGCATGTATTATGCTGTGATGAAGGGCTAAGTTTGTTCAAAGGAATTACCTTGTCCCACTAAAAGGCCCTAGGTGCTGATGTCTGTCCCTAGCTTTATTCTTAAATGACGTTGACTCACTTTAAAGGTGAAAGGGGTCAAATGTGTTAAAATCTTCAAACAACTTCTTTTCAATAACCAAAAAGCCCAGGGTGCTTATATTTGGGTATGTAGCAGGCTATGATGAAGGACTACCAAATATGTTCAACTGAAGGACCTTCATCCACATTCAAGACCATGGGGATCAAATTGATGAATTCTTTAAACAACTGTTTTTTCAATACCAAAAAGGTCCAGGCTATTACAAAAAGACATTTATTTCAATGATTGACCTTGACACCTTTTCAAGGTCAGGGGTAGAAAAAGTGTTGAGAACTTAATAATTTTTTCTTCCAAAAAGCAATAGGCTCAGGGTCATGGTATGAGTGACATAGCATGTATGAGGAATAGGATTTTAGGTTTGGAAAAGTTGATTTGATGAAACAATAAAGATAGCAGGTGGTAGACACGCTGGTGAACTTGAGTCCCCAAGGTTTGCTGAAACCTGCATGTCATGATTTAATTCATTGGAAGTGACACTGATCAGAATAAACACATGTACTTGACGCTTCTTTGGGTCTGTATAATATATAGTTCTTTGAAGTCTGATGACTGTTAAGGCCTTTGTGTGTGTTTTTTTTTTGACAAACTTAAATTCAAAACAGATCAATCATCAAACTTGGATTGGAAGAATTGATGTATTTTTTGTCATTATTCACCCAACACAGGATATAATTTTAGTTGTAATTGGGTTGTAGAATGATAGCAGTTAAAATAAATGGAAAAAATGTTTATTGTTGGGAGTTTAACAATTCTAAAGAATGGTACAAACGTGCCTGTTGAGACTTGTTTTATTTTCCAAGGAAACATACACTATGCAACAAGTAGTAGAATGTATCATTTATTTATATGAAAAAAACCCAAATATAGCTGGATACAGTAGAGAAAAAAGAGTAAAACCTTAAACTTTAGGAAGCCACTCTTGACTCTTTATATAAGAACATGACTACATGTACTTCAAGACAACTTATTACCCATTCATTGAACACATAAGCTTGAATTCCATTTGATGTAAATATGTCCACTAAATATACATGTAATCATGATCTTTGATTTTAATATGCAGTTTTCATGTTCATTATGGTGGCACGAAAGCGTTTCCAAATCGGAAAAGACTTGAGAACACCCGTCCAATGGATTTGAAAAATGATGGTTTTGGAGGTATAATTCGTGGCATCGGTGTAGGACGGGAATTTGCCCCAGACCAGGCCTGATATATATTGGTACTCATTGGGTATGGGCCTTGCTGGTAAAGACTTTGGGGAGAAAAACGCCCAAGAGAACCTTGTCCTGGTGAATATGGTCCTTGTCCATTAGGCACATGCTGAAATGGTACAGGTCCAGGTCCCATGCCATTAGGGCCTTGCTGAAAAGGCATCGATGACGGGCCCATTCCATTAGGGCCTTGTTGAAAAGGCCCAGGTCCAGGTCCCATGCCATTAGGGCCTTGTTGAAAAGGCCTCGATGAGGGGCCCATTCCATTAGGGCCTTGTTGAAAAGGCCCAACTCCAGGGCCCATCATGTTGGGAAGATTTTGATTGAAGCCTGGTCCCCTACCCATCAAATTGGCTCCTTGAGGCTTTTCTTCAAAAAAAGGGAAGATAACATTACATCCGGAATTCTACGAACTGAATCTAAAATTATTTTTCATGTTTGATGTTCTTGAAATCTATTTAATTGTCAACAAATTGTAAAATTGGCCCTGATAGTTTGGCGCCATTGATGGTAATGGATACAAACTTCTTTTTTATATACGATAGACTACATCGGCTCGGTCCAAAGTATGTACATTAGAACAACGTGGAACCAATTCCTGGTAGAACAAAGGAACGATGTCACGTACAAGAAAAATCTTTAAAATCAGTGCAAAGTATGAAGAAGGAACAGTTAACAAGGAGACTTTAAAAGTAATTAGACCGTATGTTCCTGAAACGTGGGCTTACTCACAGAAATGTAACGTTATAATAATAAGAACCAGGGAAGTCAAGGGGCATGAGTATTAACACACTAAAATGTTAAGCTCAAACAATATTTATTTATTATTCAACAATATATAAAATGCATGTATAGAGCGATATTGGCAATGCATTTTGTGTTTAGTAAAACAGCCATGTCATATTTTCAATAAACATGTGAAATAATGACTAAAATCGAACACCATACTTCATTAGGTGAACGTAGAAATAGTTATTGTCTTAATGTTTTGTCTAGGAAATTCCTCTCGTAAGTGCGGACATCTGGTACATATTTGAGAATTGGTTTGGCGTCGCTTCGAACGGTTAGTGGTGTAATTTCAACCCCTTTTGTAACGGTGACTATCACGCGGTGTCCGACTGACTTTTAATTGAAAGCAGCTTTTAGGATGTTGCATTTATGCTTGGATTCACGTCGCTAGAACAACTGATGTTGAGACGTTACCTGGTAACGGGGGGAGTCACGGAGACGGAAAACCTGTCAACCAACCAACCATGTTTGACCCTCGGTTCTCTATAATTTCGACTTGTATGATGGTTAGTATTTTCAAGTAAACGATCATTCTTGCATTACGTGGATTCTTATGAAATCAGCCGATATTGAAATTCATCGAATTCTTAGGCCAGCGCGCCTCAACCTTCTTTTCAACCAATTTCGTTTTTCCTCATTAAAGAATTTAAGTTCTTAACATCACTTTCATGTCCTAGAAGGACGAGACAGCAGTATGGTTCAGTCAAGTGAATTAAGAATTTGTATATTTTAGTACATATTTTAAATTGCCTCCGGCATCGCCGAGATACAGTTACGATACGAATCCACAAGTGTATTGACCTGAGCTTGCTTATTCAATATATTATAAGATGAAATCATGATAAGGGTATGGTGAATCTTGTATTATTTTAGTCTGGTCGACGTATTACGAACTAAAAGGATTTCGTTCGTGAAGATGTTTTTTAAGGCAACGGTGCATGGATATACATAATATATATAAAGAATCCCGGGACACTTACACGGGACAAACGTGTGAGAATGAAATAAAGAAACAGTCGCAAGATATGGAAAAAACATGGTTGAGATTAAATTATTATACAACGACACGTGCTGTGACAGAACCTAATTAGTACTTACTTTTAAAGAGGAATCCATTAGAAAGTGGCAGTAAAAATACCACAAGTAAGACTGCCGTTTTAAAGACCTGTTTTTCTGCCATGTTTGTCTTTCATGTATAGAACATCTGTGGTGTACATTACAGAGGAGTGCCAGGGCAATCACGTTTAAGATTAATCTGGGTAAGTGTCATCCATCACAGGCGGTTTAAGGGGCGTATACCGGGTATACAGGTGAGTAGAACTCAGCATTTCCTCATGAGCAATACACAAATATTTTTTTTATTTTTCATTTCCGTAAAGAAACAATGTGATATGATATCCATTTTCCTGGAAAGATGTTAATTAGAATCGATACAAGCAATCACACTATGGTTAGAGCAAATAAAACTCAGATGTGAAGAGTTTATGTACAAATTGTTACAATGGTCTTCCTGGTGACGTGTATTATCACTCATTCTCCTCAAACACCATCTCCTTATCACATATTATAAAAGCTATGGACCATTATACAAATACATATCTATAGTGACACTGTTACCAAGGGAAACAAATATTTTATACAGGTAGGTCATTAAAATGTTTTCCGAGTATAGAAGTCTTGACCAGATCCCTCTTATCAAAGGCATTATTTCATTACCATGGCAACCAAATGTCATCGAATATTTTGGGAAAAATTACTATGTAATTAACATAACTTTGTTGACAATGTTTTTAATGACGATAATGTCGTTCTGTATTTGTGCTGCGTTTGGACTTTGTCGATACTGTCGTTTTGAATGTCTGTTTTTTGGACTTTGTCGATACTGTCGTTTTGTATTTATGTGTTTGGACTTTGTAGACACTGTCGTTTTGAATGTCTGTTTTTTTTGGACTTTGTCGATACTGTCGTTTTGTATTTATGTGTTTGGACTTTGTCGATACTGCCGTTTTGAATGTCTGTTTTTTTGGACTTTGTCGATACTGTCGTTTTGAATGTCTGTTTTTTGGACTTTGTCGATACTGTCGTTTGGACTTTGTCGATACTGTCGTTCTGTATGTCTGTGTTTGGACTTTGTCGATACTGTCGTTCTGTATGTCTGTGTTTGGACTTTCGATACTGTCGTTTTGTATGTCTGTGTTTGTACTTTGTCGATACTGTCGTTTTGAATGTCCGTTTTTTGGACTTTGTCGATACTGTCGTTTTGTATTTATGTGTTTGGACTTTGTCGTAACTGTCGTTCTGTATGTCTGTGTTTGGACTTTGTCGATACTGTCGTTTTGTATGTATGTGTTTGGACTTTGTCGATACTGTCGTTCTGTATGTCTGTGTTTGGACTTTCGATACTGTCGTTTTGTATGTATGTGTTTGGACTTTGTCGATACTGTCGTTTTGTATGTCTGTTTTTTGGACTTTGTCGATACTGTCGTTCTGTATGTCTGTGTTTGGACTTTGTCGATACTGTCGTTCTGTATGTCTGTGTTTGGACTTTGTCGATACTGTCGTTTTGTATGTCTGTGTTTGGACTTTGTCGATACTGTCGTTCTGTATGTCTGTGTTTGGACTTTGTCGATACTGTCGTTTTGTATGTATGTGTTTGGACTTTGTCGATACTGTCGTTCTGTATGTATGTATTTGTACTTTGTCGATACTGTCGTTTTGTATGTATGTGTTTGTTTTTGACTTCACCGGTTCCTCATGAAGACTACTTTGTCCTTGCCTGTTTTCGTCTGATGTTCTTTTTAACTGAAAGGTTGTGTTGTTGTTTTTTTATATATAAATAATGTGGTATTTATGTATTTGTATATGTATATCAACTGATATATCACAGTGTTCCCTATAACTGACTTGGTATGATTGTATTCCCTATAACTGACATGGTATGACTGTGTTCTCAATAACTTACTTGATATGACTGTGGTCCCTATAACTGACTTGGTATGACTGTGTTCCCTATAACTGACTTGGTATGACTGTATTCCATATAATAGACTTAGTATGACTGTGTTCTCAATAACTTACTTGATATGACTGTGTTCCCTATAACTGACTTGGTATGACTGTGTTCCCTATAACTGACTTGGTATGACTGTATTCCATATAATAGACTTGATATGACTGTGTTCCCTATAACTGACTTGGTATGATTGTGTTCCCTATAATAGACTTGGTATGACTGTGTTCTTAATAACTGAATTGGTGTTACTGTGTTCCCTATAACTGACTTGGTATGCCTGTGTTCCCTATAACTGACTTGGTATGACTGTGTCCCCTATAACTAACTTTGTATGATTGTATTAGCTATAACTGACTTGGTATGATTGTATTAGCTATAACTAACTTTGTATGATTGTGTTCATTACAACTGACTTGGTATGACTTTGTCCCCTATAACTAACTTTGTATGATTGTGTTCCCTATAACTGACTTGGTATGACTGTATTCCCTATAACTGACTAGATATGACTGTATTCCATATAACTGACTTGGTATGAATGTGTTCCCTATAACTGACTTGGTATGACTGTGTCGACTATAACTAACTTTGTATGATTGTATTAACTATAACTGACTTAGTATGACTATATTCCCTATAACTGACTTGGTATGATTGTGTTCATTACAACTGACTTGGTATGACTTTGTCCCCTATAACTGACTTGGCATGATTGTGTTCCCTATAACTGACTTGATATGGCTGTGTTCCCTATAACTGACTTGGTATGATTGTGTTCCCTATAACTGACTTGATATGGCTGTGTTCCCTATACCTGACTTGATATGGCTGTGTTCCCTATAACTGACTTGGTATGACTGTGTTACCTATAACTGACTTGGTATGATTGTGTTCCCTATAACTGACTTTGTATGACTGTGTTCCCTATAACTGACTTGGTATGATTGTATTATCTATAACTGACTTTGTATGATTGTGTTCCCTATAACTGACTTGGTATGATTGTATTATCTATAACTGACTTTGTATGATTGTGTTCCCTATAATAGACTTGGTATGACTGTGTTCCCTATAACTGACCTGGTATGATTGTATAAGCTATAACTGACTTTGTATGATTGTGTTCCCTATAACTGACTTGGTATGATTGTGTTACCTATAACTGACTTGGTATGATTGTATTATCTATAACTGACTTTGTATAATTGTATTAGCTATAACTGACTAGATATGACTGTGTTCCCTAGAATAAACTTGGTATGATTGTCTCCCCTATAACTGAATTAGTATGAATGTGTTCCCTATAACTGACTTGGTATGATTGTATAAGCTATAACTGACTTGGTATGATTACATCAGCTATAACTGACTAGATATGACTGTGTTCCCTATAACTGACTTGGTATGACTGTATTCCCTATAACTGACTTGGTATGACTGTGTTCTCTATAACTGACTTTGTATCAATGTGTTCCCTATAACTGACTTGATATGATTGTGTCCCCTATAACTGACTTGGTATGATTGTGTTCCCTATAACTGACTTGGTATGACTGTGTTTCCTATAACTGACTTAGTATGACTGTGTTTCCTATAACTGACTAAGTATGACTGTAATCCCTATAACTGACTTGGTATGACTGTATTATCTATAACTGACTTGGTATGACTGTATTCCCTATAACTGACTTGATATGGCTGTGTTCCCTATAACTGACTCGGTATGAATGTGTTCCCTATAACTGACTTGGTATGACTGTGTTCGCTATTAATTACATGGTAAAACAATGGATGATTTAGAAACTCACTATAATTTCAGACAAAAAACACGAACGTCATAATTTCTAACTATTTTTATTATAAATCCTCACTTCTTTAAGGTGTTAAGATCGGCACTTTTTAGGATGAGTTCATCTTTCAGGAAAATTTCACCCTTTCTTTCCACCAAAGAAACTGCCGAAACTGAAGAATCGGCTGAAAAATCCCTTGGTTAAGTTATCGAAAAAGGTGGACGATTCTGTCTGTGGAGCAGAGGTTGTCGTCTCTTTATCTGCAATAAAGAAGCCTATGATTTTTATATCTGTTTGGCAAAATTAATTTAACATATAGTTAGTTCATATTTTCAAATTGTAACTGACATTGCTCAAGTGACCATTACGGCGTCACATTAAAAATACTATTTACCTACTTTGTAGTTCCGCAACCTTTGTAAATCATCGTGTCTACTTGTTACCCTTAACAGGATCGATGTCCATGCAACTGGTTCAATATGTCATGAAATTATAACTCATATAAGATTCTATTTATTATGTAATTTAGATACATCTGCAAACTTTTGTAAAAATTTCATTAGACAGTAAAATCGAAAGCCAATTTAATTCTTTATCTATATCCACAGTGCTAGTTATTACCCGTGCGTAACAAAGATGTCATTGTTATAGTATCAATTGTGTTATTGACTCACGTGTAATAAAATCTAGCGGAGCTGTGATTGGTTAAGGGTATCTTTCGTATGTGATAAGCAGAAACTAACATTTGTTTCCATTTAAATATGAATAAAACTCGTCACGATTTTTTTCTTCTATTTCACCCTGCAAGGAATTTCAATTGTAACATCAGGATATCACACAGAGAAATATAGCAAAAAGCAAAAAGGTCTGACCCTGTCTCTTTTAAAGTGTGAGGCAAAACATTTCGAAGATTGTAAACATATTCAGTTTTGAACACCACATCTAATCCACAGACATTGTATAAACATATTCCATTATTTTACTAAGAATGTGCAAACATTGCACAGCATTTAACATTCTACATAAGGAATATGTGACGCATTAATGTTTGGGTTGTTAATAAGTAACCAGAACCTTGAAACGTACCTACGTAGTAAAAATGTAACGAGGAATTTTCTGTCTAAAGACGTGCTGCTATGGAAAAATAAAATATCTTATATGACCTTAATTAAGAGGATCGGCGTTCGAATCAGGTCATCTCTGGAATTAGTTGCGAGGACGTCAAACCACAATGAAACGGTATCATTAATCGTTGATTATACATGACTGTGTAAAAAGATAAGATAATGAAATTAAAACTGGTCTCCTTCTAATGATAAAAAAATATAATGTCAACTCACCTTTTGAGAACCAAAACCCTGATGCTACTTGAACCAG